GAAGAGACAATCACCCATCCACTCAACTGGTATTCTGATCCAAGATGATTTACTGTTTAAGTGTCCTACACAATTAATCTCATTAGCTTAAATTCATAATTGGGTTTTCTTTGACACCTGACAAGGAAGTGAATACACATTCATCTTTGGACTGTAATAATTACTTTTCACCCCATTATTCTATATCTAAGAGACTCTGGTATGCAACGAATTAAATAGTATTATCCCATAGGAAGCAGTGTAATGACTTATTTTCCTGACTTAAAAAAAAAAACACAAAAAAACAAATGCAAATAATCACTTTGTCCATATTTTAAAATCTTCATTCACCAATTTAATGTAAGTAAAGAGGAACAGTGAATTAGAAACTGGCCATAATTTGGAAACTAAGGCTGACTTTTAAAGCTGTCCTCATAGAAAAACATTTGACTTCTTGACTAAAAAGAAAACTGCCTAATTGTACAGTTGCAAATTCATGATTATTATGCAATCCATGTCTTTCACAACAAGCATAGAAAAGAACAATTCTAAAATTGAGGGAAATTAGCTAAATATTCTACAAACTTAGGAAAGTACAGAAAAAATTTCAAGTCTGTGGATTTTTAGAAAATCCACAAACAAAATAAAACTCCATGTCTCACTTGGAAATCATGTCAAAAACAGGACCTATTGTATTTTTTAGAAATAAACTAGGCTAGACGTTGCTGGCAAGAAAGTCAATACAGACAAAAAATTAAAACAGCCCATCCAAGGTTACCACCCAGAGACAAATAAGCATTTTTACTCATTTAGCTTCCTTTACAAGGACTAGATTCTTCTTCCCGCTTTGGCTATTAAAATCCTTTGTAAACCCCCTGAGCTCTCAAGAAACTTTATTTTGTTACCCCAACCATTTTCTTCTCTGAAATACTTTGGTCTTTCTTGCACAATTCAGCTTCTAGTTTTATGCTGTTCTGTCTTCTCTTGGTTCCACACGTATCATCTTCACTGTACAGCCAGACCGTGGGAGCCTCAGGCAGGTGGTCATGAGCCTTACAAACTATATCCTTGACTGTGCTCAACATCTGTAGGGCAGAGAGTAGCCAAGACCTCTGCATTTCCATCAAGTGATGCCTCACCTACTTGCTAGCTGAGTTATTTTCTGAGCCAGAGTTTCATCAACTGTAATATAGGGACAATCACACCATCTACCTCCTGGGTTGCGGGCAGATTGGGCGAAATGCTTCACTATTGCTTAGCAGAGTGCCTGGTACCCAGGAAGCCCTTAGGAAATGGCCGTCTTCTGCTCCACACATATTTGCTGACTGTTACGGATAATCATGAATCATGTCCAGAGACAAAATGTTTCTCATCTGAAAGTAGGAAGTCACATATTTTACAGCTGCAGGTTTACACAGATGGTCTTGTCTGTAGATTCTTACTGTATTTCGGCGATTCTTTTTCCCCCACTCACACTTTAGGATCTTGGAACTCAGGAGGTGTCTTACGATCCAGTCTTCCAAGCAGCTGAGAGATGTTTTGTTTTGTTAGAGTCAATGAAATCCAGCACAAACTGATTGATTCTTTTGAAGAAAGAGATTTTAGAGAATTATATTCCGAAGCTTCTATCTCTCCTTCTATGTTGCTCTTCATGCTTTTAACTCTGCCCCATCAGCCCCACTCTCAGAGTGCCACCATCCCTGTCCTTTAAATGTCATAGACAAAGAGACACTGCCCATTTTTACCATGGCCATGTTTTCTAAGCCATGTGACAGCATTTCAAATGGATACCACTTCAAACTGACCTCTGGTACTCTGAGCGCAGAAAGTTATGGTTATTAGAGCTCTCTCACAATTAAAAAGCCTATTTGGTCATGACTGTCTTGGAAAGTCTTCATGATATTGATATATGTCCTGATTTTCCCAGAATATTTTTTAGTTTTGCCTATTGTCCCAGCATAATTATTAACAGCAATTCCTTTCATCCTCAGGCGTACTCTGGTTCGGATGATGGATGATAAGATTACCCAAGGTGAAAACCAAGGTAGGTCCAAAATTTCTAGTTTTCATGTCCTATATTTTAATTTTGTCTTTGTTATTTGTAACCTTGTGATTCTAGTCAACTAGTTATTCGTGTGGTTCAGGAAGTGTTCATTCCTTCATATTTTACTGCACACTGATTATACAATGAAAAGCAAAACATACATGGCCCTCCCACCTGGAGTTTACAACCTAGAAGAGCAAATGGACATTAGTTAATTACACATCCTAAATTTCACAACTCCTCGAGAGAGGTGCAAGATGCTCTGTGACATGAGGAGGTGGGCGGGCCTTGTGGACAATAGAAATGCCCCTGCATTGTTTGTTTTACCCCAGGAGCATGTCATCTCATGTTAACACAGTGTTCAAAATGTCACTGAGTTTGCCTTCCATTCATTTGCCGTGATGCAGAGACATTTCAATACAAAGAGGCCTTTCTGAAGTCACACACAAAGTCATAACCATGGGTGTGTAAAGGGCAGCGAACAGAAAGTTAATCTTGGTTTCTTACTAAAGTGGCAAAATGATGATGGGAGCAATAAACAAGGAGAGGACAGAACAATGATATTTGGGATTAGGGTACCAATGGCATCAAGTTTTCTGTTTTGTTTTGGGTTGGGTTTTCCGCTCCAGAATTCCTTTAGGAGCACAGTTCTAAGCATATAGCAAAAGTGCTCAGAGCGTCTTGACTCATGATGACAGGGAAAATGAAGCTCAGAGAAAGAAGGTATGGAACCCACATTCACACAGAGAAAGGAGAAGGCTAAAAGGCTTGGTTTCCCACAGTTACTGTCTCCTTTCTGAGATCTATAATGTCAACAACCAAAACAAACAGTGGTTGGCCATTGGTGGGGTGGATGAGTGAGCATGGAGGCTCTGAGAGGGACTCCATAGGCTACGAATAAGCAACATTCTCCTGAGAAAGCACTATGGGAGAGCAGAAACGAATGTGGGAGCCGGTGTGAGAGAAAGACCGCTGGGAACAGGATTCTAGTTATTGACAAAGCACCAGGTGTGTAAATTTACTTCCCACATCATGATTCACTGGTCTGCTTCCCACATATCTGTTTTTCCGAAGAGCACATTTACAGTATAAATAGGCCCTTCCAAAGACAGGAAATTAAATAATAACTATGTAAGTGTACAGGCCAAGGCCAAAAGAAAAAAAAAAACTGGTTCATGGTGCCTGCACAGAGAATCTATAAATTATTATGCTGCCTCTTCACTAATCCAGATAAGTTCCACATAAATGTTAACTAACCACTGTTGGGAAAATATTTTATCTAGCCAAATGTTTACTAAATGAGACATGATTATACTTAAAAACTCAGCAAAGTCTTCAAGGATTAGAGATGACAGTGGCGGTCACATGTGTTGATTTTTCATTTAATGGTGTGTAATGAATGCAAGTTGAGGTAGCAGACAGAACTCTACCTCTGGGATCAATAAGCCTAAGTTTAAATCCTAGCAATGCCATTTGTCATCTGTTTGTCCTTGGCAAATCTTTGCGCCATGGTTTTCTCATCTGTGTAATGGGGATATTATAATGACACTAGAGGCCCGATGTATGAAGATCCGTGCACGAATGGATCTTACTTCCCCTGGCTGCCAGCACTGCCTTTGCTCTGGCAAGAGCAGCCTTTCTGCCTTCACTCTGGCCCAGAGCCGCCTTTCTGCCTACCCACGCTGCCCAGATGCCTGGAGCAGTTGGGGCGGTGTGGAACACCTGTGCCTGCATATGCAAATTAACCCACCATCTTTGTTGGGTTAATTTGCATACTCCTGATTGACTGGTGGGCATCACGAAGGTATGGTCAATTTGCATCTTTCTCTTTTATTAGTGTAGATGAGGATTCTGCCTTTAGTTCTGACAATTTAATAAGATACCACATGAAAGTACTTAGCAGTGCCTGTGATATCATCAGGAAATAGTAGCTGCTTTGATAGTGATTGAGTTCAAAATTCTCACCAGTAACCTAGGTAAAAAGTTAATGTCTCCTAATCATGGTTTTCTCGTATTTAGACTGATCTAACTGTATCTGCTCTGTTCACTTATCACAAATTATTATAGCGATCGGGTGATATGTCACATAGGAAACCATCATTAAAACTACCAATTTCTTTATAAATGTAAAGTATTATCTTTCCCCTCTATTGTCTCCTTGGGCTTATAGCTGCCTTGTTACAGTTCACCCTTAAACAACACAGGTTTGAACTGTATGGGTCCATTTATATGTTGATTCCCCCCATAAATACACAGTCAGCTGCAGGGTCTGGCATCTGTAGGTTTAACCAACCATGGATCAAAAACAGTATTTTCTATCTACAGTTGGGAATTCTCAGATGCAGAGAACAGGCCATTTTATTTAAGGGACTTGAGCATCTGTGAATTTTGGTATCTGAGGATGGTCCTGGAAACAACCCTCCCCCTGCCCCCCCAGGATACTGAGGATACTGAAGGACCACTATTGTTAACTTTTGGGGGAATCAAAAGTGATATGCAGGTTTTTATTGATGGGGGTCAGCATCCCTAAACCTTCCCCCTCTTGTTCAAGGCTCAACTGTATTTGTCTTTATTTAACACAAATGTACCAAGTGAGTGAAACAAGTAGTTTCACTGCTGACAGGTAGTTAGGACTCAAATGCTCTCCCCAGAGACTTTCCTTCCTATGAACTTCTTTATTACTATTTCAATTAATTCATTTATTATTTAGTAAGTTCCTGTATGTCATCTTTCTCCTCTTCTTCTAAGCTTAGTTAGAAGATAGCACCAATATTCATTGGTTCTGGCCTTGGGCACAATGTGCTTAGTTGTCTTGTTTTTTAATCTTCAAAATAAGGCCAAAAGCCTACCTCAAGGAGTGGATGTAAGAATTAGGTGAGGGTTGAATGTCATGTTCAACAAGGACATGTTGAACGCAGCAGGTACTGAATTCTCTCCTGTGCACTCAGTCCAAGGCTGTCCCCTTGGATTGACTGACCTGTGAATGATGCGCTGGCTCTGCAGGTAGTCCAGGGCCATGGCCAGCTCACAGATGAAGAGCTTCACAGTGTCTTCCTGAAAACGGACGTTCTGCTGTAGGTGATACCGTAGGTCCCCACCCAGCAGGAGGTCTACCACCATGAACATGTCTTCCTCATCTTGGAAGGAGTACCTGGGATCGAGTTGGAAAGGAAAACGTGTCTGATATAGTTACACACGAAAGAGTCCCAGAGGTGAAGACACCCTACAGATTTGAGCAGAGTGTGGTTGAGCTAAGAGGTCAGGCTTTGGGAGGAGATGATTTATCACTCGCTCTATGGCTTTGGGCCCCCAGTTTCCACTTGTATAAGATGGGAATAATAAGAATATTTACCACATTTGAACATAGTAAAAACTAAAGGATAATAGCTGAGTCATGCCTGGAATATAGTAAGCATTCATTAACTGTTAGCTTACAAAGCTATAAAGCCAAGGAAATAACGAAAACCCCATTTATTCGCTTATCATTGATGATCATATCCTAACCACACTGTTTAAGAGGTCCATAAAATGTGGATTAGAAGGCCTCCTTGAAGCATTCTGGTGCCCATTTTCCCACGCCCACAACTTCATTGCCCAGCAACACTATGAAAAAGCATGTACCAACACTAATGACAGGAAAAGAATTTAAAAGGGGTAATAAAGGAGAAAGTGCCCAGTACGAGGAAGTTATTTACCTAGGGCTTGGGAAGAGGAGGTGAGGGAAAGCTTCTGACCAGAGGTAAAACCTGAGCTAAATTCTAAAGGATGGTGACAAGAAACATAACTAACGAATAAAGCTAATATCGCTGACATTTCTTCTGAGCAACTTCTCCACTGGGGTAGACTCAGAAACATCCAACAGTTTTACACCTATCAGTCCCAGAATGCTGCTTTTATGCTCCCATTTTACAAATGAAGAAATCAAGGCTCACTGAAGTTGAAGTAATGCAAAAAATCAAGCACCCAATAAATGGTTGATCTGAAGAGTTCTCCAGGTCCAAAAGTCCTATTCGAAAGAGAAAAGTAGCACATACTAAGCACAGACCTGGGAGAAAACAGAGTGTGTGTGTGGGGAAAGGAAACAGTTTGGGTTTTCTGGAATCACAGGGAGGATGGGGAAGCTTGAGCCTGGAGAGGAAGGCAGAGGGCAGATCCCAGGATGGGAGCTCTTTCAGAATCAATAGATGCTGGGGAGACACTGAAGGGTTTTAGGCAGGATGAATGCTCAGATGCAGGCTTCACAGTTGGTGGAGCAGGACGGGTAGTTGGATGGGAAGAGGAAATGAGCCACAGGAGAGTACATCTGGCTTCTGCTGTTTGCAAAGAACTCCCTGTTTTGTTTTGTTTTAAAAAAATACTTTCCTGCTGCTTTGATTGGTTTTGTTTCCCTCAAAGACTTCGCATCACCACAGAGCTCTTTGTATCAACACTGTTTTGACATGTTTCTTTTGACATGATGTCACTGAAATCACACGTTCAAGTTTTATTTGAATCCAAGAATTAAGTGCCTGCAAGCAGTGTCCGGGGATGCAAACCAATTCCTTGTGACCAATTCTCTGCTTAGGAAGCAAATGTAGAATATCAATGATGGGTGAACTGTACTTAGTACATTTTGTTCTTTATAATGATCGTTGTTCTAAAGGATAAGGAAGGGACTTGAAAACAAAAGAAAAAAGAGAAATTCCATGAAGCATTAATCTGAGGCATTACGATTCTAATAAGGAGTAACTGCCCTGATGTTTACTTGTTCAATAGATAAAATCGTGTTTACCACGGAAGACTGAGTCACACAGAAGATGTTGGAAATTAAGCTCACGGGGGCAATTTAGACAGAAACACAGGAAGTGCTTCGTAAAAATCTGAGAAACACATCTTTGGTATTGCCTGTTAGGAAATGACATTCTTCACCTCGGTGCAATGACTGGTTGGTCATCCCTGCCATAGGTTTTATGGGCACCAGGAAAGGTGCCTGTACCTGAGCTCTTTGGTTCACAATCTTTCCAACTGCACCACTAAAAATTATGTTTGTTGTGTTTTCCAGTTCTTTCAGGAAGGAACGGTAATTAGTATGCAACCATGCCTGGGACCTGTTGTACCTTAGGCTCCTCTCGGCTAACATAACAGAAACAATGACTGCTCAGCGTGTGAGAAAGCCTTTTGGGATGGCCAATGAATGGGGTAGAGAGGGTGAGGTGGGTGAGAACTGAGTACCAAAAGAAGGGAGAAAGAGTGTCAACTACAAACAGATCTAGATGCCAATGGAAACAACCTATGCAGACAGGGGTGGGATTCAGAGCAGCTGTGACTGCCTTCAGCTCGCCACTGGAGGGCAAGCAGGTGGAGAAATTAGTGACAGACAGAGGACTCTCTCATGACTCCACTCAACTCGAATGGGGGACAGTGGTTTTATTAAACTGACCCTGAAGGAGCAAACTATTTTTATAGGGACTTGGGTTAAGCTATTTTTTATTCTAAGAACACACTGAAAAAGGTGCCCATCATGGCAAGATAACAACAATGTTCAGCCATGCAGGGAATTATTAATCAAAGAAAAAAGAAGTCAAGGCAAGAGGCAACATGCTTCCTTTGCCTGAATATAAATTTACTTAATCATGGAGCCAGGTCTGGCTGTTAAAAATCATCTTTCTCCTTCAGCACATCAGATCTGAAGCTCTCTATCTCAGATCTTAAACTCTCAGAGGGAGTTTAAGTATTTCATTTTCTAGAACTGTACCTAGTAAAATAGTACAGTTTGGTGATAACTGGAATATGCAAGTTCAGATCATTATCTTTTTCTTTTTTTTTTTTTTTTTTTTTTTTTTAAGAAAAGAGTAAGAGTTTTTTTGTATTTTGGCCACTTAGCACCTGGACTCACTGTTGCATTTCCACAACTTTTTTTTTTTTATGCTACATCGCGGCTTATTTATTTCTTAGTTGACAGCTCCAAAATTAACAAGTCTGGCCCCAGTGCACCTGAAAGGCATTGCAAAACATGCTCAGTAAGAGGAAATAAGTAATAAAAGACCACAACCCTAACGCACCCTAGTCTACCATGTTTGACTCAGACCATTGTGCTAGTCTATTTGGAGCTCTCTCTGCATAACCTCAAACATCTCCAATCCATTCTACACAGCACAGTTACATGTTAAAAATGTGAGTCTTATGTTATCCAGGCTTGTAAAAGCCATTCATCTCTTTCCATGGTCTACAGGACCCTGTACGACAAAGCATGTCAAACTCGTGGCCCACGGGCCACATGCCTCGTTTATTTGGCCCGTGTTAGCCTTTGAGTTTGACATGCTTGCTGTACAGTCTGGCCCTGTTTACTTTTTTAGACTTATCTTTAAGATCTTTTCCTCTCATTCCTCCACTAGGAGTCCATGTCTTCCTCTAGTCCTAGAAGCTTGTGACATGGTGTGATCCATGCTTTCCACTGCCTGCTTGTTTTCTATTTGCTCTCCAGTCTCAGCCCCAATGCCACTTCCCACAGAGACTTTTCCCATGGTCCATGTTAAATCCTGTCTCCCTGTTTTATGTGATGCTGGATTCTTGTTCACAGAACTTACGGTGATTTGAAAATATTTTTCTGTGTGCGATTAGGCGAACTGTTTTCATTCTCACTGTGCTATCAGAATGCATGCCTGCTTTTACTCATCCTCAGCTTCTCAGTGCTTGTACACTGTCGGAAGTGTATCTTTACAAATAGCTGTAGAAAAGTAATAAATGAATAAATAAAGAAGGGAAAGAGAAAAGTAAGGTTAACACAAAAGTGTCAGGTGAGTCTGTGACACATTCCCTCGGCTCTATTTTTAGAAATTAGCATGGTTACCAAATAAGTTCAGATAAATCACATCTTGAGGTTAACCTAAGTCTAAGCACTGAAAGAGGCCTAGAATATTCTCCAATGCAATGATTTTCAAATTGATGCTCACCACCCATTAATGGGTTGTGAAGTCAGTTTGGCTGGGTTGTTTTTTTTTTTTTTTTTTTTGAAGAAATAAAATAGGTTGAATAACATAGAATAAATGCTATTAACATGCAAGGCTACACATTATTTATGAAATTTTGGTTCTTGTGAATACAATATGTGTCACTCTCTGTGTAGCTACCAGCTTGTGATGAAAAATATCTTTCTTTCTATGAGTGGCAGTCAAGAAAATTGATGAGCCCTGGCTGGTTTGGCTCAGTGGATAGAGGGTAAGCCTGCAGACTGAAGGGTCCCGGGTTCGATTCTGGTCAAGGGCACATGCCCGGGTTGCAGTCTCGATCCCCAGTAGGGGGCATGTAGTAGGAAGCTGATCAATGATTCTCTCTCATCATTTATGTTTCCCTCTTTCTCTCTCTCTCTCCCTCCCTCCCTCCCTTTCTCTCTCTCTCTCTCCCTTCCTCCCTGAAATCAATAAAAATATATTTTAAAAAATAAAAGAAAAATGATGACACAGGGGGAAGCTACTGCCTACTGCAGAACTATTGTGACCAATCCTCATTTAGACTCTATGTAGGCAAGGGTCAGTTCTTATATATCCTAGCAAAGCAAGGGAGACACATGACTGGTATTAGTTATTGCTTCTAAAAGCTATTCGATTTTGGAGGAAAGACATTGATTGATTTCAAAGATATCACACTGAAGGAAAATAAAAGTGAGAAATGCACAGGCTTCAGGCAGGCCTGGGGTAAATATCACGTGAATTTAGAGAAAGTCTCTTAAAGGAAATTCAGAAAGGATATCTGTACATTAGGAATGATTTTATGTATCACAGGCAAAAAGTAAATTAGATAGAATGTTTGTAAAGTTATTAGCACAAAGCATGGCACATAGCATAATTGTGAAAATCTTGGCCCTGAAGCCAGACTGTTTTCATTCAAATCTCAGGTCTGCCCTTTAACATCTTTGTAATAATTGGAATAAGCCCTAAACCTCCCCATTTATAATAGTACATACGTCATAGGGCTGTTGGGAAGATTGAGTTCAAACATATAAATGGCTTACAACAGTGTCTGGAAGATAGCAAGTAACAGATGTTAGCTATTATTATAATTGCCTTCCTTTTTCCACCCATAAATGTAATATAATTCTTGTAGTAGGCAGATAAATTTGTTTTATGTCAGTGTATCTTATTCTTGTATGTGAGGTAATTATATGTAGACTAG